ATGGCAATCCTCGGGATATTGAATGGGGAATAAGAGACAACGAGATATATTTATTGCAATCCCGACCCATCACTCATTTGAACAATTGGTCGGATTGGGAGGCAATGCATGAAATGGATTCCGGACACCAGTCGGAGAGTGAATACTTTTCGAGGGCTAATTTGGGTGAAGTATTTCCGGGCGCCAGCTCTCACTTATGCCTGTCTTGGATTGTGACCGTTTGGAATGCTAATGGATTCGTGAGTCTACAGTAGTTTCCCATAATTTGCTCATTAAATTTATATTTGTTTAAAATAATTACAGAAATCTTGGCGTAAAATGTTTGGCTTATCTAAGAAAGAATTTTGTGCGTATTTTAATAGAGGCGGCGGTATTGTAAACAATCAATACTTTTTCCTATTAAAATCGGTATTAATTTTTTTTCGGGAATATATTTATTTAAACTTGTATGGATAATAATGGTAATAATCTAATAATCTTAAATGTTTGCACCATTTGAAGGGCACTTTCCCATTTGTTGGCGATCCGAGGTCTAGAATATCAAAGTGTATTCAGATCGGAATGTTTGGTCACGAGTTTGGCGATGAATACAATGAACTTATGGCCGATTCTAATGAAAAGGCGCCCAAAAAGTCAATTCCGTTAACAACGAAAATCTGGTTATTCTTGGGTTCATTCAAATACTTTCTGACCCCAGGAGTCACTATAAGAGAAGCGCAGAAAGGGCTCAAAAACTTTGATATATTTGAGGGAAGAATGGCTTTTACAGGGAAAGACGTATTCAAGACATTACTAGAAACGGTTCATTTGCAGGCACAGATGGCCTACGCTCACGGAAAGGCTACTATTTGTTCAATGGTTTATAATGTGGTTCTTCTCGATATTCTAAAGAAGAGTAATAATGATAATAACGGAGGTTTTGATCCTTTTTAGATTAAATTCTTGAACTAAATATAAAACTATTTTTAAATTTCTTTAGCAAATAGTTACTCAGATTTTGGTCAATTAGTTTCGTGCGCTAATCAGGTGGTGAGCGCTCAGGTACCTAATCTGCTCAGAGATATTGCAATCTCTATTGAAAATAGACAACAATTTCGACAATTGAGTGATGAAAGGGCTCTCAAATATTTACTCCATTCGGACACAACAGCGTCCGTCAAGTTTAAGAAGTTTTTGTTAGAATTCGGTCACAGAGGGTACAAAGAGTTTGATCCGATGGCACTCCAATGGGCAGACAATCCTATCTCGGTGGTTAAATCGCTCAAAACAATGTTAATCGGTTTGTAACTCTAAAACACTTTACAGAATTGAATGACTGTTTTGATTACAACTAATTGTAATATGATTTGTAACCCAAAGGCGACCGGACTCTGGAGCTAAAGAGATCCAAAACAATCGATGAAACGATTTCGTCGTTGAAAACACCGCTCACTTTCTCCAAGAAACTACTGCTTAAGTATCTGTTGATCCCGTGGTGTCAGAGCGGTATCAGTCTTAGGGAACAGAGCAAGCATTATATGACCAAGAATGTCAACCATTATAGGCGAGGGTTTTGGCGTTTGGCTAAACTTATGGTATCCGAGGGTAGACTACCGGAGCCTGATTTACTATTCCATATGACTTTACCAGAAGTGGACGCTTTACTCAATG